TAAGTAGATGTAGGTCTGCAGTGGCAGATTTAGAAGTATTTTGTCACATATAAAACACTTCCTGATTATGCGATAAAATACTAGAATCCTTTCTGACATAATTAATTTTGTCAAATAAAAATCTGCAACAATACAGTGACAGGAATAACACGTTTTGAAAAGAAATGTTCAAATGGTGACTGCTATACAATCATGTAAGCCAAGCTTCAAATCTACTCCCCCCCTCCCCCCCCCCCCCAAAAAAAGTTAGCTATTGTCTTTTGACATTCATGAATCCCAGACATATATAAATTGAAAACGAATAAAACATACTTAAAAAAGCTGATGATTTTCAATAAAAATGTTAAAAATAATCTTTTCTTGAAGTCAAATAAAGTCAATGTCCACTATGAAAGAGAAGCGCGTTTTAATTGGAGGTACATTGTACGTATGTAGGATTTAAATGTAAATTGATTGTCTGAACCATCCCAACTTATGTCTTAAAATTACCTTTTCACGCTGTAAATATTGATTGAATATTTATCATAGTTGCGAAGACTGAAGAAATTGTTTCAAGTACATATTTTCAACATGATTGCTCTTTGTGACGTCATTTTTTTCAATGCATTGCGTCACTAATTTACATGTAATGTCCCATAGTAAATTTCACTGAGAAAGGTTCATATGGTTTTCATTTGCATAAATAATTATATTAAATTAATTTTTTTCAAATGCAAAATTGAATTTAAAAGACAATAAAAAAATAATAAAGCCTTCAGATATAGAATTAAACAATTAATTTCTTTAAAAATATAGATTTTATTGTGGAGAAAAGGTGACGTCTATCCAAAAATGCAGCATTTTTTACTTCAATTTTTTGTAAAAACTGATGTGGCCGCACTTTTGTAAGGTTATTTTTTCTCTTTAATATTAAAAATCGTAGTATATTTGTTCTTTCTGCAAAGTTTCGCATACATACTCGGATGCGGCCATATCGAAATATAGACTTGAAGAGGAGAAAAACGTCCGAAATAGGGGAATTCTGGAATATTAGACCAGTTTTTAACGTTATATAAATGAAAGGGCACGTGAGTTGAGAAAAATTTATTCCTATTTCACACACAGGGAAACCTTAACAGTTAATTGATACAATTGATAGAATGTTATCGTGCGTTTAATTTTTGCCGATTTTACAGGGCCGTAAATCGGTCTTAATGTACCCAGCTCTTTATGTCATTTAAAATTATCTTAATCCTTAAATGAAACAATCTGTGTATTTATTACATAAGTCTGGTATGCTTCCGACATAAATGAACAAATTTGGATCATTTCCATCAAAGACGTGCATAGAAACTTCATATAAATAGACCTATTCTAAAATTTCTTTATTAGCTCCTCTGAGCCAAAGGCTCAAAGAGGTAATGCTATGGCCATTTGTGCGGTGTGCGTAAACTTTTTAGAATATGGGCCATAACTCAAGAACCCCTTGGCCAATTATTGTCAAATTTGTCACAGGGTGTCCTTGGCCCAAGGGCTCCCGTTTATACTAAAACTAGGGTTGTGACCCTTAAACAAGGGGAGATAATTAAGAAAATAGAAACAAAAGTACTGGTTGCTAAAAAATCTTCTTCTCAAGAACCACTGGGCAGATTTTCACCAAACTTACACAAAAGGATCAGGATATGTTGTAGATTAAAATTTGCATGGGGATTTACCCTGGGGCAAAGGGTGTGGTCTCAAGGTCACTTCAAAGTTGACCAAAAATTACATTGTATTAAAATGTTGATATTTTGCTTACTATAAGGACAGGGATCATCAAATCTTGTCAGTTGATACATCTAAGGACCTTATATTATTTTGACTCAAAAGTAGGTCATGGTGACCTACTTCTTAAATTTTGCGGTCATTCTTTTTCAAAATAATTTAGAGGCATATTTTTAACAATTTAAGGCCTATGATCATCAAATTTCGTCAGTTGATGTATCTATGTCAAATAAAAAGTAGGTCACCTTGACCTTCTTCTTGAATTTTATGGCTAATCTTTTTCAAAACAATTAAGGTCATTTATTCAAATACTGAGAGGTTTAGAATCATTAAATCTTGTAAGATGATGCATCTTGGGGCCATAAAACATATTTATTAAAAAGTAGGTCACAGTGACCTACTTTTTGAACTTTGCAGGCATTCGATTTCAAAGCGTTTTAGAGGCATAATTTGGACATTTTAAGGCCTATGACCATAAAACTTTGTAAGTTGATGCATCTTCAGTCTTCAAAAATCGTTAACTGAAAAGTAGGTCACTGTGACCTACTTTTCAATTTATATGACTATAATTAAATATATCAGGTACTTATTGGCTTAGAATCATCAAATTTTGTCAGTTGATGCATCTTGGGTCTTTGAAGTAGGTCGACTGAAAAGTAGGTCACCATGACCTACTTTTGAAAATTTATGGCTTTAATTAAATATTTTGGGTACTAATTGACTTAGAATCATCAAACTTTGTCAGTTGATGCATCTTGGATCTTCGAAGTACAACAATTGAAAAGTAGGTCATTATGACCTACTTTTGAAAATTTATGACTATAATTAAATATTTCAGGTACTAATTGGCTTAGAATCATCAAACTTTGTCAGTTGATGCATCTTGGGTCCTCGGAGTAGGTCGGCTGAAAAGTAAAGGGTGTTCCAGAATATAGGATACCATTTCTTGTTTGAATAAAACACAATTTAAAGAATACTGAATTAAAACAAATACATTGTAAACAAGACTTATATTGTCTAATTTTATTTACGTAATTTGATAGACATTAAAAAAAAACAACAAAATTAGGACACTTTGAACTATGATACAGTTTTTTACATAATGTGCTCCAAATGACGTCCTTTCCGGGTAGTGATAATGGTGAGACATTGCATAAAATTCCTTATAACAGCAGCACATGTCTCGTTGGTTATCTTCCGGATTTCTCTCCAAATTGCACATTTTAAATCTGTTAAGGATTCAAGCTTTGGTTTGTACACATTGTCTTTTAGGTATCCCCATAAAAAGAAATCTAGAGAACTTAGATCTGGGTAATGAGGAGGCCAAATGTGTGCAGTTCTGAAATCGATGAACATTCCATTGAATATTTTGTCTAGCCAGTCTGTAATATTTCGAGTTGTTTGGGGCGTAGCTCCGTCCTGTTGGAACCATTTGTCTTTTGGATTAAAACCCCTTCGAATAAAACATGGCAGAAACTTCTTCTTCAAAAGCTCCAAGTAGCGAGTACTGCTAATAGTCTGAGATTCTCCTGCTTCATCTTCAAAGAAAAAAGGCCCAATTATCTCTTTAGAGCTCATGGCAGCCCAAACTGTTAATTTTTCTCCATGAACAGGCTTCTCCAGATAAAGATTTGGTTTTATGCTACCCCAGTATTGAAAATTTCTCTTGTTTACTATCCTGTTTAAGTAGAAATGAGCTTCATCAGAAAACAAAATGTCATTGGCTATATCATCATGCTCCTTCATCCATTTTGCAAAAGCAATGCAGCTGTCAATGTCACTTTGCTTAAGGTGCTGCATTACATATATAGGCTTTAAGTGTAAGGTCAGATCTTAAAATTCTGTGAACACTGGATTGGCTACATGACATAGTGTTACTCATATCACTTAAAACTTTCCTCAATGTGGTGTTTCCTCTTTGACTTGTTGCACCTGTTGAATTGTCTCTGGAATCCTCACTGCGATTTTGGTGTGCCTCCATTGCTCCATCTGTTGTCTTGAATAGATCCTGTTTGCTCAAACTTTCTTACTATTCTTAATACATGTATTTGCTGCTTAGTAACTCGTTTTTCTTTTGGAAAATCTCTTCTTAATATTCTTATAACAGTAAATGGAGAATGAGTTTGGTAATATAGTTTTAAAATGAGGGTAGCTTGCTCTTTTGGTAAATCCATTTTTATTCAAAAGCAATTTTTTTTAGCAATATTCTGATGTAATTTTGTGTCATCACAATTCCAATTAAGCAAGACATTTTCCCACAATATATTTGCTACTATAAAATTGTATTAATTCAACTAATAACCAAGACAAAAATCAAAGAAATTGGTCAAGGCATGTGTTTCTGATGGTAATTTCAAATGGTATCATATATTTTGGGACACCCTGTAGGTCACCATGACCTACTTTTGAAAATTTATGGCTTTAATTAAATATTTCAGGTACTAATTGTCTTAGAATCATTAAATTTTGTCAGCTGATGCATCTTGGGTCTGCAGAGTTAGTGGACTGAAGAGGAGGTTACTGTGATCTATTTTTGAAATTTTATGGCTTTATTTAAATATATCAGGAACTTATTGGCTTAGAATCATCAAACTTTGTCAGTTGATGCATCTTGGGTCTTCAAAGTATGTCATCTGAAAAGTAGGTCACTGTGACCTACTATTAAAATTTTATGGATATAATTTTAGAAATATTTTAGGTATTAATTGGCTTAAAATCATCAAACTTAGTTGATGCATCTTGGGTCCTCAGAGAATGACAAGTGATAAGTAGGTCACCATGACCTACTCTCAGGTTCAAATTGGCTTAGAATCATCTTGGGTTCTCAGAGTGTTTCATCTAAAATGTAGGTCGTGATGACCTACCTTTGGAATTTCAAGGCTTTATCTAAATATACAGGATACTTATAGGCTTCAAATAGAAGTGATAGATTGTGCAGTATATAAGAAGAGCGATTCAAGGCCCTTGGGCCTCTTGTTTATTATTCATATGTGATCTCAAATTCATGTAACTTAGGTGATTGATGATGAAAAGCAAACATCAAAATCTTAAAATAGAATGATTATAGATACATAAAATCACATTTTAAGTAATTTTATCGGAGGCCGGAAAATGACAATATGATGATCCTTTAATTTATGACAAAATAATTTGTGCTGTAATTAATTTGATGTTGGACCCATATATTGCCTAAATTGACTGGGCTATTACACATACAATGTACATGTATATTGTAATTACATTTCATATCTCTACAGAGAGTTTAAGCAAGGTACCTGTGTTCCTTTCGCTGGTAGTGGAAACGAAGAAAACAGGAACAACAGTTACCCTGAGAAAGCAGCTTTTGCACAGCCCTCAGGGCTGACCCTAGGATATGCCAAGGAAGAGGCCTTTCTATTTATTGCAGACAGTGAGAGTTCTACAATAAGGAGTGTGTCACTGAAGGATGGTGCTGTTAAGCATCTAGTTGGGGGAGAGAGAGACCCAATGGTAAGTGCTTGTGATTTGAAAATATTAGGGATGTCAGAATATTTATTTTCCTTAGTCGATTATTCGATTGCATTATTCAAAAGATAGTCGAATATTCGGAACATTTTCTGAAAATAAAAATTTATTTCAAACTTCACTGGTACATGAAGTATTTATAACTCAAAACCTCTTGTACTTAAATCTATTTTAAAAGTAACATCAAAATTAATGCAACATGTGGACAGCATGATTGTATGAAATAAATTTAAACAGGTAATTCTCCAAAATGTATGCTTTTCCCATCAATCAAATTCATAAATCGGTCTGTATACTATACAGTGTTTTATTTCTGTAAGCATTAAAAAATTGCAAGCAGATATTTTTAGGTCACCTGATCATGAGTCACTCAGGTGACCTTTTACTATCCGTTTTTGTCTGTCTTCGTTCATCGTTTGTTGATAGAAAACTTTGGAACATTTTTAGCTTCTTTTCTGGAACCACTGAACCAATTTCAACCAATTTTAGCATATAGCATCTTTGGGAAAAAGGGAACAAAAATTGTGAAATTCTTGGCCCCTGCCCCCCTGAGGCCTGAGGGGTGGGGCTTAAACCATCAAAATTAGTGCAATCTTTAAAAATCTTCTTCTTTACTCCTGAACATCAAGAAGTCAAACTGTTGGTATGAATGTATAAAGCATTGAGCCCTCTACCAAAATTTTGAAATTCATGGCCCCAGGGTCAGGGACTCTATAAGTGCTTAAGGGTGGGGCTCTGTTGAATATATAGTGAAAATGCATTATTTATTTAAATATCTTTTCCTCTTTTCTTGGGTATTAACAAATGAACTAAATGCATAGTTATGATGCACAAGTGTGCCTCTTTCAATATTGTGAATTTCACGGCACGGGCCCTGGGTCAGGGGTTCTGATGTTAGGGTGGGGCTCTGTTGATTATACATTGAAAATGCATTATATCTTTAAAAATATTTTCCTCTGCTCCTTGGTACTATGCAAAGAAACTTAATGCATAGTTATGATGAGCAAAGGCGCCTCTTCCAAAATTGTGAATTACATGGCCCCTGGGTCAAGGGTTCTGGTGTTAGGATGGGGCATTAAAAATTATATAGTGAAAATTGATTAATTCTTTGAAAATCTTTTTCTCTGCTCCTGATTATTAAGGATAAATTAGTGCATAGTTATGATGAGCAAGGATGCCTCTTCCAAAATTGTGAAAGATGTGGCCCAAGGGTCAAAGGTTACGGTGGGGGGGGGGGGGGATCTATTGATCATATTGTGAAAATTTCTTTAAAAATCTTCTTCTCTGCTCCTGAGTATTAAGCAAACAAACTAATGCAATACTATAAATCTAAATGTATAAATATAAATAAATGTGCCTCTTCTCTGCTCCTGGGTTTCTAAGAGGCAAACAGAGTTCAAAATTGCATTAAGTGGAGCAAATGAGTTACTGTACTGCTCAATGCCCAGAGAAGAGAAATTCTTGTAATTGCCTATGTCTTTATTATCATCAACTCCTACATTCACATCATACAATTGACAGCATACAATCATACATCATATGATTGACAACACAGGATCATACGATTTACTGTAAAGTAAATAAAATATTGTAAACAAAAAATTCTTGTAACACAATGCAATACAAATAAACAGAGGCAATTCGGACTAGCAAATTGGCAACACCAAGGCAATTCAGACTAGTAATATACACCAAATTATATCCTATCAGTATCATAGATTATAATAACCAAAAAGGAATACTTTATAAGTTTACGTACTATTATATGAGTATGCATAAAAATATCCAACTTTCATAATTCATGTTTGCAACCAAATATGAGAGTTATTGCCCTTGAGATACAAAGTTTAAGCCAAATGCATTTTAAAAATCCTAAACAATACATAAGCAGACCTATCAATGAATCTTATAAATAATCTAAAAAAAACTGTGTTCAATATAATAAATCTATAAATGTAGTTTTACATAATAAAGTAATGATAAATGAATACCCGACTATGTAGACCATTATCAGATATCAAAAATACAGTTTCATAAAGAAAATTAACAAAATGCATGCATATACATATGAGTGTGCTGGTATTTAAATAATTGGTTACCGAATAAGTAATTTCTCCACATTTCCAGAGATGCATTGGGTTCAGTACAGACCAGAGAATGTTAAAACTGTACAACAGCTTTCAAGCGAATGTCACTGCTCGTGCAGTACTCAAGAAAAATATGTGTACTCAAAAATCTGTGACGTAATACGCTGACATAGTGGCGCAAAAATTCAAACATCAATAAATGGCTATTACAACCCAGCCCCCTAATTGTGGAACATAGTGACACAATTACTCCCACAAAAGTTCATTCAAAACAATATTATAATACAATGTTTTGACAAAAGTTCTATGATAAAATTTTTTTTATAATACACAGCGCAAATGTTGTTAAATCATGATACCTGCATAAATATACACAAGATCCAAATAATCCTAACAGAGTCCACAAAATAACAGTATTAATCCGTTTCTAGGATAAGACACAATTTATCTACAGGGCGGATTAGATTGTTTGTAGAAGTTTTAACTCTCACTTGATGCACGAAACCCTTGTCATCTGGTAAAATTTCTTGAATGATTCCCATGAGCCACGGATTTCTTGGAGCATTAGAATCGACAACCAGAACGACATCACCCACTTTCAAGTTTCTTTTCTCTTCAAACCATTTCTGTCTCTCTTGAAGTAACAGTAAATATTCACGTGTCCAGCGTTTCCAGAAAAGGTTTGCCATGTATTGAATTTGCTTCCAGCGTCGTCTACAATAGTTGTGTTCTTTCACAAAGGTACCAGGAGGTAAGTTTGGTTTTTTTTCATTAAGAGTAAGTGGTTTGGTGTTTAGGCCTCTAAGTCCCCATGCTGATCTGAACATCTGGTAATGGGTCATCCATTAAGAATAGACACAATCTCACACATCAAGATATGAAGTCCTTGGTCATCCAAAACTTGTTCTTTCAGTACGTTATTTATGACTTGTCTGACGGATCTTATGATTCTTTCCCATACTCCTCCATGATGAGATCCTGCAGGTGGATTAAATTTCCATTCTATATTCCTCTGTAGCATAGAATATTCTATCTGAGACACTCCATTCATTGATAGCACTCCTTAACTCTGCTCAGCTCCTACGAAGTTGGTACCATTGTCTGATCGCATCTTGACAACTTGACCTCGGCGCACAATAAGCGACGTAATGCGTTAATATAAGAATTGGTGTCCAGAGATGCTGCTACTTCTAAATGAACTGCACGACTGGTCAAACATGTAAATAGAACCCCATAACATTTCACGTGACTTCTCATTTGTTTCACAATAAATGGTCCAAAATAATCTACACCTACTCTGGTGAATGGTGGTTCATCTGGGATCAGTCTATCTTCTGGTAAATTGGCCATCTTTTGTTCTCCAACATTTGATCCTTAACGACGACATATCATTCACTTCGAAATAAGTTTTCGTATTGCTGAAGCTGCATGAACAAGCCAATACTTCTCCCTTAAAACTGCCATCATATGGTTTCTACCGCTGTGTTTCAAGTCTTCATGAATTTGTCTGAGAAAGTTGAAATGTGATGGTTCTTGGGTAAGATAATTGGATGTTTACATTCAGTTGGCATATTGGCTTTCTTAAGTCATCCTCCTACCCGCAAAAGTCCATCTTCATCTAAAACTGGGTCGAGTTTCTGTATATAACTGTTTTGCTTCACGTAAGTATTTCCTTCTGCAAGAGTACTCAGTTCATCACAGAAAGTTTGATGTTGTACATAACACAAAATGGCGATTTCAGCTTTCTGTAAGTCCTGAAGCGAAATGTGTCCTGTGTCATCTGGTGTAGATCTAACCTTTTCATTAGGCGATAGGTTGTCACTATTTCCAAGTTTATTTTGTTGAATACGACGGAGTAATTCAGTGCGAATCTTCGAAATCCATGCAACACTTTTTTGTAAAGAATACCAAGAAGAATGATAGTTGATAAGTTTCTCAACACTCATCAGGTCAATGCTTGATTCTGCCTTCTGTACATCAGCTACTTATGCTCTCACTGACACTTTTTTCACTTCCAGATCATAATCTAGTGTTTCATGCAAATTTTCTGTAGGTGTTTCTGGCCAATAATTAACAGAAGTCCATAAAAATTCTGGAGCTTGAATCCAACGTCCATGCTGCACTATTTCCTTTGCTGAAAGTCCTCTTGATGCATAATCTGCAGGATTGAGTTTAGTGTTGATGTATCTCCATTCTTGTGGTGTTGATCCTTCATGAATAACAACAAGTCTGTTAGCTACAAACGTGTGAAATCTTGATGTTTCATTTCTAATGTAACGTAATACAGCCATACTATCTAGTTTCATCTATAGGAATGTCTAATTCTGCTTTTAACATTTTATCAGTACGCACGGCAACTGTTGCTGCTGTCAGTGTTCGAAATTAGCGTCGGCCCGTCGGTCCTGCGCCGACGTACAAACGGAAGGACTCGCGAATAGTATGACTAAATGGGTCCTTGAAATAATTTTGGGCCGACGATGTTTTGCCGGGAAACAAGTTAGTCAATTACATCTTCTCAGACTTTTCCGGCGAGCCTGGAAAAATACGCCGTTGTTTTTCATTACTGCTTGTTGGAAAGGCTTAATAAGTTGCGATTGAAGTTAACGTCTGTTAACACTGGTTAACGTACATTGGTTTATGCATTTACATTAATTTTTATATCTTTCCTGAATTTTAACATGTTAATTGGATATATTTAACAAATTTACCAATGAGCGTGTATAAAAGAAATTGGACTTAAAATGGGTAAAACGTATCAATTCTTCTTTTCATGTGCATTTTAAATAAATACTGAAGGTTTGATCTTTTTCTGCATGAAATAAATTTACGTTATATGTATGCAGTTACAAACTTTCCACGGGAAATTGTCCAAGTATTCTTCAGTACATTTTATCAACA